TTTCATTAAAGCATCTTTATAAGATAACTTTAACGAATTCTGATAATTTCTTGGGTCTTCAAGGAGTTTCCCTGTTTCGGCAAAGCCTTTTTTCGCGGAGTTGTAATTTTCCTCGGCGATTTTCCCTGGCGAGGACTGGTTGTGGGGTGGAGATTTTCCCCCATCATTTCCTCCTTCTCACGTCGAATCAGCTTCGTCGAAGTTGATTTTTCCGGAATCCCGTGGCCGTTTTCGGATCTTTTTATTTTCGCCAGCTAGATCCGCAATCACTGGCGACTCCCGTTTTTTGACTTCTGATTGGCTGAAGGAATTCCGCCACTGTTGCGTGCCCGATACTCTGTGCGTGCGGCTTTCATTTTGCTGCAGTCGAAGATTCGATGGCCCGGCACCCCGCAAAAGTCACACGTGTAGTTGGTGTTTTTCGGACGTGGCCGCCCCTCGAATCTGTCGACTTCCATCGGGTCGGCGAACGTGGGGTGAGCCGAGCGGTCGCCGACGTGTGTCCGTCGTGTTCTGGCGTTGACCATGTCGAAGCGCTCCGCTACCGAAACGACGTCACTGTAGCTCGCGTAGTTTGACGCTGCGACTTGTCGTTTGACTTCGATCTTCAGCCCGGCGAGGTACGATTGTACTTTTTCCCCTTCGGTCAGATCGGGAATGCGGTTATAAAATTCCTCCATCTGCTGCGTGTACTGCGCTACACTCCCGAACTGTCGGTGTGGATGAATTTTTTCCCGGGCAAGGAAACTCGAATTTATCGGCTCGAATCGTTTCAGCAGGTCGGTGCGGAACTGCTGCCACGTGGCTTCACCGTGGATGAAACTGTTGCCGCCAATCCACTCGAGTGCCGGCCCTCGCATCAGTGTCGCCGCGAGTCGTACACGTTGTCCGTCCCAGACTGGCGAGCTCCATCCGACGGCTGCGAAGTAGATCTCCATCCCGGTGATCCATCTGCTGGCGTCGGAGTTTCGATCGCTCGGATCGAACGGCTCATGTGGGCGCGGTTTTGGAGCCTCGAGAAACTGCTGCGACTGCTGCGTCGTCGCCGTTGTCGTCTCGTGCTGCGCTCCGGCGAGTCGAGTTACTCGCTCGAACTGGTTTCGCCACGCTTCGCGATCCGCTCGCATTTCCTCCTGAAGGGCTGCGATGCGCGCGAAGAGCTGCTGGGTAACCTCGGCGTTGTCAAAGGTTGCCATCCTGTTCAAAACACGCACGGAGGGGGTAATTCGAAAATCGCGGAGCTGGTGCTTACCAGAATCGGCGTCGAATTGGTCGCCCCCGGCGGTTTTTCGAGGCAGGATCCCTGCTGCTGCTGCTTAGCTGAGCGCGGTCGAGTGGGAAAAGCTCTGATTACCAAGTGTCACAGGATCGAATGTGTCGAGGAAAGGTTGTACTAATGATCAGTACAAGGTGCTTTTATACTTCCAAAGTACATCAGGTAACCAGGTTTATCTTATCCTAAGGAAATAGACCCTTCTAGAAATAGAATCACCCTGTGTATAGCCACGCGAGGCTATTGGCTTTAAGGGATTACGACAGGATTACGCCAGATAGCGCACCAGTACATCCCAAGCCTGGTCGGTGATATAATGATAATAGTAAGATAAACCAAAGGTTAAGGGAAAATGGAGAATAGGAAACCAAATGAGATGAGATAAAGAGAAATGAACGAGGAAGGAAATAAGAAAAGGGAAAAGTGGTGTAACGGGGTCGTACTCTCACAGGAAGGGTGAGTGAGGGACCGACACGAGCAAGCTGTTGCGACCTGGGAGGACGCACCAACCGGGGGGGAAGCGTTGTCGAGGGTAAACAGACTGGACACCGAGTCCCGGGGGAACGTCGCAAGGGGGGAACCTGACACAGCCTCAGAACAGACAGCGAACCGCTCGTGCCCAGGAAACGTGGTGGTGACGCCGAGGTCCTGGAGACAGCCGACACCAACCAGGTTCCTCGAGAACGAGGGAACGTGGAGGCTTGTAAGGGAGCCCGAGGGAACTGCTGGACAGGGAAGGGACGTGGAGCTGCGAACGACGATAGGTCCTGCAGAGGGGTCAGCGAGAGTGACAACAGCAGGCGTAGCAAGCGGCGTGAGCGCAGAACGTTCGAGGAAGAAGCAGGCAGAAGCACCGGAGTCGAGAGTGAAGGACAGCGAAGCGGTGGCGGAGGCCGGGAACGGAGCCGGTGCAGAGACTAGGCTAGGCAAACTAGGCAGTCCTACGCCTGACGCAGCAGGGGAGGCTAAGCTACACAACGGTGGAACGCCTAAACTAGAGTACACAAGGTAATAAGATCCAGCAACACTAGAAGCGTCAGAATACAAGGCATGCAAAGCAGCACCTATCTGATCCATGTCTAACTCAAAGATCGGCACGCCTTGGCGGAGCAGGCTGTGCCAGTCGGGGAGGTCCGGGGCCGGGCCAAAGCGACGACGAAAGAGATCGTCGAGGCGGCGGAAACAGCGGGCGGTCAGGTGCGGGTGGCGGCACAGAGTGCCGCGAAGAGGCCCGGTCTGAAGCTGGTACTGGCAAGTGACAGCACCAGAGCCGCCGGTAGACACCGAGCTGCGCGGGCCGCCACCACGGCCACTACCTCCAGAGGTACCGGGCCAACCAGGCGGGAGACGGGCCCACGGCTGCGGCGGCTGCTGCTGGGACGGCGGCTGCTGCTGGGGCTGCTCCTGCTGCGGCTGGGGCTGCTGCTCCTGCCCACCGGTGGTAGTCCCCTCAGGCGGACTACCGTCACCACCACCACGACCACCACCACCTGCGCCACCACCTCTACCTCCCTGGCGGCCACGGCCACCGCGGCGCGAGCGCTGCTGCGGGTGGACCGCAGCAGCCGTCTCGGTGAGAGGGGTCGCCATGGCGACCGCAGCCGAAACGTCAGTGAACGTGCACTGGGAGGGGGCACAGCCGTGAAAGATAGAGATTGCCGGCGCACCGCTCGACTGAGCGATAGTGCGCTGGCGAGTCTCAATCTCGGTGAGGGTGTCGACAAAGGTGGTGAGGGTGAGGTCACTGTTGTGCTGGCTAAGGAAGTGATCGCGAGCACTAGCGAGGCGGTCTGGCAGGCGCATGGCGATAAAATAGAGCGTCATGCAAAAAGGGGGGGGAGCGCAGTGAGCTGGGCAGCAGTGCTGGCAGTGCGATAGCGGGTCTCTAGGGCACGCAGGTGAGTGGCAAAGTCTGCGACGGTAGGGAAGGCTGCAAGGTCTGGGAACAGCATCGGGAAGAGCAGGCGGCCAACAGAAGCAGACGCGGGTGTGGAATAGCGAGCAATAACAGCGTCTAAGTAGGCTTTGGCCGTCTCAACAGTAGCAAAACGCGAGCGCTTAGACACAGGGTGGGCGTGGCTAATAGCAACATGAGCGACTGCATCGCGGGAGTCCCAGACCGCACAGGCAAGCGCAGCAGTAGAGAAGGCCTCACGGTCATCAGAGGAGGGGTCAGCAGGAGCGGAGCAGGTGCGGGGGGGCGGGGGAGCAAGCCATCGACATGAACAACCAAAGAGTGGCCATCCTGGCGCTGACCTGTAAGGTGGCGGCGGAGATCGGAGAGCCAGGCGGCGAAGTCAACTGCATGGCCCTCGGCGTCCAGTCGGAGCACGAAGTCAGCCATCGTGCAGGGTCAGCGACACAGCTCCACAGCTCCGCAGGGACACAGCGACGCAGGGATACGGCCGCAGCACTCTCCAGCACGGCGGCCGCGAGGCGCCCCGGCGCTGGCGAGCAGAGTAGACGGAGCTCGAGGTGGCACGGCACGCCGAACAGGCACGAAGAGGGGCCGGGCGGGCAGTGGGAGAGGCCAGGCAGACGCGGTGGGGCCAGGCAGGTGCGGCGGGGCCAGGGAGGCGCGGCAGGGCCCGGCGGGCTCGGCGGGGCCAGGCAGGCAGGCGCAGAGGTGTCAGGCAGGCGCGGGGGGGCCAGGCAGGCGCGGCGGGGCCAGGCAGGCGCAGCGGGGCCAGGGAGGCGCGGCGGGGCCAGGCAGGCGCGGCGGGGCCAGGCAGGCGCGGCAGGGCCAGGTAGGCGCGGAGGGGCCAGGTAGGCGCGACGGGGCCGGCAGGCCGCCACAAGGCCAGGCGGGCGCGACGGGGCCAGGCAGGCGCGGCAGGGCTAGGCAGGCGCGGCGGGGCCAGGCAGGCGCGGCGGGGCCAGGCAGGCGCGGAGGGGTCAGGCAGGCGCGACGGGGCCAGGCAGGCGGCGACGGGGCCAGGCGGGCGCGACGGGGCCAGGCAGGGCGCGACGGGGCGTAGCGGGCGCGACGAGGCTAGGCAGTGCGCGACGGGGCCGGAGCGGGCGCGACGGGGCCGGAGCTGGCGCGACGGGGCCTAGGAGGCACGACGGGGCCCTAGAGCGGCGCGACGGGGCTAGGAGGCGCGGCGGGGTGCAGAAGGGGCGCGACGGGGCTAGGAGGCGCGGCGGGGCCCAGGAGGGGCGACGGGGCTAGGAGGCGCGACGGGCTAGGAGGCGCGACAGGGCCCAGGAGGGGCACGCCGGGGCCAGGCGGGCGCGACGGGGCCAGGCAGGGCGCGACGGGGCCTAGGAGGCACGACGGGGCCCAGGAGGGGCGCGACGGGGCTAGCAGGCGCGGCGGGGCCCAGGAGGGGCGCGGCGGGGCTAGGAGGCGCGACGGGGCCCAGGGGGGGATGCGGCAGGGCCTAGCTAGGGTACGGGCGGAAGCGGTAGGTGGGGGATTCTAACCTACGCGCGATACCATTTAAAAGTAAGAACTGAATGAATGAACTAGGAGAAACCTAGAACAAATACTAGTTGGTTGTACTCACTAGAGGCATACCCCAGTCTAACCTATAGCTTCTACATAGCTAATATGTATAAGTTGACACCTAACTCGCGTTATGACATGTTTGAATAGCTAAGTGGACTCTAGCAAGGCATACATGTGGGATATATGGTTTGGTGTTGTACTCTCTAATAGCACTTACCCATATAGCCTGTAACTAAACATACAACGCATATGTATAAGTTGACGCAAAAAAATATAAAAATGTGTCAAAAAAATCATCAGAAAGCAAAAAAACCAGATTAGAGGTTCAGCAGCATGTGACCAAACTCAGCAGGGATCCTGGTTAGTAGTGAAATGAATGATCTCGATACTACCCCCTTACCACCGGCACTACTGACTCAAACACTAGGACAAATACTACTGATAGAACCAATACCAGAGACTACTGGTACTTGAGCTCTTGAGCTGCCACTCAGAGCTGAGTGGCCCGAGAGATGCACAAGAGGAGGGGGTCAGGGAGGGGTTTAGGGTAAGATGAGACATGAAGTAGAAGAGAAATAAGATTAATGGTGGATGAATCTGAAGGCTCCAACTGAACAGCGGAAGCACGTACACGCAAGCTCGCACGCTGGCACGCACCCATGAATGCACACACCTACAGGCATGCACCCGGGCATGCACGCACATGCACACGCACGCTTGCACGCACGCACCCGTGCATGCACCCACACACACATGCATGCACGCATGCACACACACGCAGCCATGCAAGCACGCACATGGACATGCGTGCATGCACCCATGCACGCACGCACGCACATGGAGATGCGCCCACACGCCACACAGGCACACACACACACACACACACACAGACCGAAAAGAAAACCCATTAGCATGCTGCACAGAGATTCTCCTCCCCCACGAGCAGTAAAACTGACAGTGCAATGCTAGTGAAGCCGCTTCCCTCTCTTACGAGCCTCCTTGTTACTCAGCCATCCAAAGCTGCTTCCGAACCTGCTGCTAGTCACCAAACCCCCGCTGCTTCCAAATTCCCCAATCGAGCTACTACCAAGCCCCCCTCCCAAGCCCCTTCCCAAACCCCCTCCCAAACCCCCTCCTCCCAGACCCCCTCCCAGACCCCCTCCATCCCCTCCTCCTGAATCCCCCCCCGAGGGATCTGCAGGGGGTGCGATGCAGGTCTGGCAGAAGGAGGGGCAGACGACACGGCAGAAGCCGTTGGAGTATACCCTAGCGGCCAGCTCCTTCAGCTGCGAGGAGCAGTTGGTGCCATCCAGGGGGCACGTGAGCGTGCTGTCAACAAGGCTGCACAGTAGCAAGAGGGGTGGATGCAGGGAGGAATGTGGGGTGGTTGGGCATGAGTGCAGAGCCAAAGGGTGTGGATGGAGGAAGAGATGGATGCGCCCCCTGGAAGAGGGAGGGGCAGACGAAACGGCAGAAGTTCTTGGGGTCATCTCTAGCAGGCATATCCTTGAGGTGGGAGGAGCGATTGGTGGCAGCAGCGGGGCTTGTGGCTGTGCTGTCAACAGAGCTGCGTGGAAAAAAGGGGTTTGTATTGAGGATAGAGATGAGTGGTGGGTGGATGTGTGTGTGTTGTCGACGGAGCTGCGTGCAAGCGAAAGGGGGCATGTGAGGGTGCTGTCTAGAGATCTGAGGGGGAAACAAAGAGGGTGGATGTGGGGTGGGTGGCGAAGTTTTGAGACCTCTGAAATGTGTGAGGTGGAGAGGACACGAGGTGCTGCCAGTGGGGCATGCAAAACGAATGCTGACAAAACAAAGGGTTCTGCCGAGCATCCGCTTCATCCAAGAGGAACCCCTTGCATGTGAAACGGAAAACAAGGAGAGAAAGAGTTTGGGGAGGGAGTCAAAGAGGGAGGGAAGGAGGGAGGGGGAAGGAGGGGATAAGGGAGAGAGGGAGAGAGGGAGGGAAAGAGGGGGAGAATAGTAGTATTGCAATTCAGGCACGCACATTTCTGCAGGGTAGTCACCAAGGTAGGCCGGGAGATCCCCCTCAAAGTGGTTCTCTGACAGGAACCTGAAACATGAGGAGGAGACAGGAGGAGGGAAAAGATCTAGACACACAAGGAGGAGATAGGAGGAGGGAAAATATCTAGACACACAAGGAGGAGATAGGAGGGAGAAGATCAAGACACACAAGGAGGAGATACCATGCGAGAGCCTGAAGCACAACGAGATTTGAGAAAGGTTGCGGAGTGTTAATAGGTGGTTGGTTGGGTACATTTTGAGGCGCCTCAAAAGACAGGAAAAGGAAAAGGCTGGCTGGCTTACACGGCACTCATTGTCCAGTTGAACACAGAGGGCGGCAGAGGGCCTGACAGGTTGTTGCGTCGCAAGTCACTGAGGGCGTGTGGCCACAAGAAGTGAAACGGCAAAAAGGGCAGCCGAAAATAGAGAAACAGAAAGAGGCTGTATGGATAGACGCAGACGGCAGGGGGAGCAACAAGAACCTGTGGCGTGACTAGATGGCGCGTCACTGAATAGTGAGAAGCTTGTGCCGGATGGTAAAAATGGGAGAGAATGTGCAGGGAAGGGGGCACAGGGAAAGGGGCACCAGAGAAAGGGGCACCAGGGGAAGGGGCACCAGGGGAAGGGGCACCAGGGGAAGGGGCACCAGGGGAAGGGGCACCAGGGGAAGCGGCACCAGGGGAAGGGGCACCAGGGGAAGGGGCACCAGGGGAAGGGGCACCAGGGGAAGGGGCACCAGGGGAAGGGGCACCAGGGGAAGGGGCACCAGGGGAAGGGGCACCAGGGGAAGGGCACCAGGGAAGGGCACCAGGGGAAGGGGCACCAGGGGAAGGGGCACCAGGGGAAGGGGCACCAGGGGAAGCGGCACCAGGGGAAGGGGCACCAGGGGAAGCGGCACCAGGGGAAGGGGCACCAGGGGAAGCGGCACCAGGGGAAGGGGCACCAGGGGAAGCGGCACCAGGGGAAGGGGCACCAGGGGAAGCGGCACCAGGGGAAGGGGCACCAGGGGAAGGGGCACCAGGGGAAGGGGCACCAGGGGAAGGGGCACCAGGGGAAGCGGCACCAGGGGAAGGGGCACCAGGGGAAGGGGCACCAGGGGAAGGGGCACCAGGGGAAGCGGCACCAGGGGAAGCGGCACCAGGGGAAGGGGCACCAGGGGAAGCGGCACCAGGGGAAGGGGCACCAGGGGAAGGGGCACCAGGGGAAGGGGCACCAGGGGAAGGGGCACCAGGGGAAGGGGCACCAGGGGAAGGGGCACCAGGGGAAGCGGCACCAGGGGAAGCGGCACCAGGGGAAGGGGCACCAGGGGAAGGGGCACCAGGGGAAGGGGCACCAGGGGAAGGGGCACCAGGGGAAGCGGCACCAGGGGAAGGGGGACCAGGGGAAGGGGCACCAGGGGAAGGGGCACCAGGGGAAGGGGCACCAGGGGAAGCGGCACCAGGGGAAGCGGCACCAGGGGAAGGGGCACCAGGGGAAACGGTACCAGGGGAAGCGGCACCAGGGGAAGGGGCACCAGGGGAAGGGGCACCAGGGGAAGGGGCACCAGGGGAAGCGGCACCAGGGGAAGCGGCACCAGGGGAAGGGGCACCAGGGGAAGGGGCACCAGGGGAAGCGGCACCAGGGGAAGGGGCACCAGGGGAAGGGGCACCAGGGGGAGGGGCACCAGGGGAAGGGGCACCAGGGGAAGGGGCACCAGGGGAAGGGGCACCAGGGGAAGGGGCACCAGGGGAAGCGGCACCAGGGGAAGGGGCACCAGGGGAAGCGGCACCAGGGGAAGGGGCACCAGGGGAAGGGGCACCAGGGGAAGGGGCACCAGGGGAAGGGGCACCAGGGGAAGGGGCACCAGGGGAAGGGGCACCAGGGGAAGGGGCACCAGGGGAAGCGGCACCAGGGGAAGGGGCACCAGGGGAAGCGGCACCAGGGGAAGGGGCACCAGGGGAAGGGGCACCAGGGGAAGGGGCACCAGGGGAAGGGGCACCAGGGGAAGCGGCACCAGGGGAAGGGGCACCAGGGGAAGGGGCACCAGGGGAAGGGGCACCAGGGGAAGGGGCACCAGGGGAAGCGGCACCAGGGGAAGCGGCACCAGGGGAAGCGGCACCAGGGGAAGGGGCACCAGGGGAAGGGGCACCAGGGGAAGGGGCACCAGGGGAAGCGGCACCAGGGGAAGCGGCACCAGGGGAAGCGGCACCAGGGGAAGCGGCACCAGGGGAAGGGGCACCAGGGGAAGCGGCACCAGGGGAAGCGGCACCAGGGGAAGGGGCACCAGGGGAAGCGGCACCAGGGGAAGCGGCACTAGGGGAAGCGGCACCAGGGGAAGCGGCACCAGGGGAAGCGGCACCAGGGGAAGCGGCACCAGGGGAAGGGGCACCAGGGGAAGCGGCACCAGGGGAAGCGGCACCAGGGGAAGCGGCACCAGGGGAAGCGGCACCAGGGGAAGCGGCACCAGGGGAAGCGGCACCAGGGGAAGCGGCACCAGGGGAAGCGGCACCAGGGGAAGGGGCACCAGGGGAAGCGGCACCAGGGGAAGGGGCACCAGGGGAAGCGGCAACAGGGGAAGCGGCACCAGGGGAAGCGGCACCAGGGGAAGCGGCACCAGGGGAAGCGGCACCAGGGGCAGCGCCACCAGGGGAAGCGGCACCAGGGGAAGGGGCACCAGGGGAAGCGGCACCAGGGGAAGCGGCACCAGGGGAAGCGGCACCAGGGGAAGGGGCACCAGGGGAAGGGGCACCAGGGGAAGGGGCACCAGGGGAAGCGGCACCAGGGGAAGCGGCACCAGGGGAAGCGGCACCAGGGGAAGCGGCACCAGAGGAAGCGGCACCAGGGGAAGGGGCACCAGGGGAAGCGGCACCAGGGGAAGGGGCACCAGGGGAAGCGGCAACAGGGGAAGCGGCACCAGGGGAAGCGGCACCAGGGGAAGCGGCACCAGGGGAAGCGGCACCAGGGGCAGCGCCACCAGGGGAAGCGGCACCAGGGGAAGGGGCACCAGGGGAAGCGGCACCAGGGGAAGCGGCACCAGGGGAAGCGGCACCAGGGGAAGGGGCACCAGGGGAAGGGGCACCAGAGCACCGGGGAAAAGAGGAATGCGAGCTCTGAGGGAACAAAGGGCTTTAGGAGGAATACCATAGAGGTGGGTTAAGGAGAGCAAAACTAGCCACGATATCATGACCTTGTGTCGATCAAACGAGCTGGAATAGTGACAAGAAGTCACTACACCCCCCTACTGACACTACACTCCCAGAAAATAGCTTTGGTAGGGATGCAGGATGCAGGATGCATGGATGCATGTACGGCTCGCTTACCTGCCCCAGAGGTTCGTTAGCTTTGGTAGGGATGCAGGATGCATGGATGCATGTACGGCTCACTTACATGCCCCAGCCCAGAGGTTCGTCAGCTTTGCTAGGGATGCAGGATGCATGGATGCATGTACGGCTCGCTTACATGCCCCAGAGGTTCGGGACCTTTGGTAGGGATGCAGGATGCATGGATGCATGTACGGCTCGCTTACATGCCCCAGAGGTTCGTTAGCTTTGGTAGGGATGGAGGATGTATGGATGCATGTACGGCTCGCTTACATGCTCTCGAGGCTCGTAAGCTTTGACATGGATGCAGGATGTATGGATGCATGTACGGCTCGCTTACATGCTCTCGAGGCTCGTAAGCTTTGACATGGATGCAGGATGTATGGATGCATGTACGGCTCGCTTACATGCTCTCGAGGCTCGTAAGCTTTGACATGGATGCAGGATGTATGGATGCATGTACGGCTCGCTTACATGCTCTCGAGGCTCGTAAGCTTTGACATGGATGCAGGAAGAGAGCCTGAAAGGCTGTTCCCTGCAAGATAGCTGAAGGGAAAGGGAGAGGGGACGAGTTAAGTAGGGAGTGAAGTGCCTGAGAGGGTAAAAGTGGGAGTGAGATGGTGGTAAAAAGATAGCGAGCTCTACAACGTTCGATAAGGTGTAGTGCATTGAGGCAAGGTAAAAAAAAAAAACGGAGTGTTGTTGTTTTGTTTTGTTTTTTTTTTTTTTTTTTTTTTTTCATTTTTAGGCTGGTTGCTACGGTACCATATTTTTTGGCCGTGTTATTCCGCTATCTTTTTTTTCCCGGTACAAAAAATCGGCCGGAAAAAAAAGGTAAAAAAAGGGCGAAATGCACGGTTCTGGCATTTCGCCAGCTGATATGCGCGGATCTGGCATTTTGCCTGCCAAAATGTGTTAGATCCCGCGTTCTGGTGGACGAAATGGACAGATCTGACATTTCGCCCACTAAAATGCGCGGATCTGGCATCTCCCAGCCAAAATGCGCGTGTCTCGAGTTTCGATGGACGGAATGCGCGGATCTGGGCGGGCGTTTAGGCTTTCTACGAAATGTTTTTTTTTTTTTTTTTTTTTTTGGAGTGTCCAATTAAAAACTCGGCGTTTTTTTTTTGTTTTCCAAAATCACCGAAAAAAACGATCAAATAAAACGGCCTGCCGATTTTTTCCACCTTGCATTGAGGTGCATTACAATTGGAAGCGATCGTCTTCACATATGAAAAGGGAAGGTAAAGAGCAATGGAAGGGTCAACAGATGCCACTCTTTAACAACGAGCAACGGAAGGAATTTCGGTGACTAGGATTGAGCATCGATGACCCCTGGAGAGTATGGAGGGCTCTAAAAAGACTCCAGGATGGCCTAAGCATGCATGGAAGGCTCCAAGAAGGCTAAAGGATGCTTCTTGGAAGATTCGAAGGACGCTCTAGGGAGGCTGCAAGGAGTACAGGGCACAAGCTTGACCCTCCACATGCTGGCGAGAAAGGGTCAAGCTTAGGGTCCACATGCTTAGGACCCAGCTTGAGCAATTTGGCATGGAGGAGTGGCACAGAAAGGGTTCACACTTGGGGTGATTACGGTCCAGGAAGGCGAGAAAGGGTTTTGACATCGCTTGCACTGGCCTGGAAGAAGCCCTCACAGGGTCCATGTACTAGTGAGAAGGCTGATAGACCCTGGGGGTTCAGGCGGACTCAGAGGGACCACAGGTGGCAGACTTGACCCAGCTTACAGGTTCCACATTTGAGTGAGAAGGCTGATAGACTCTGGGATGCCTCCGCTGATGCTGTTGTTGGCCAGGTCGCTGCACTTGCACAAAATGGCAATGACTTTTGAGTCGACTCAAAAGTCACCCACAAAATGGCAATGGTATGAAACAGAGATTCGACTCCATGTGGCAACCAGATTGACAGCCAGGTGTAAAGAGATTGTAAGTGGCCCCATATTGTTCGATTAGCAGTCAAGGTTACAGTTTGAGTCTTTGAGCTCAGTACTCAAGGGCATAGGATGGCAACAGGTTAACATAACAGTCGGTGCCTTACAGTTTGGCAAGGTTGGAAAAGGCTCCCAGTGACGAAGGCAGGGAGCCGTTGATTTCGTTGGATGCCATATCACTGAAGGAAGGAGATGGGGTGAGACGAAAGGAGACACGAGAAAGAAGGAAGGCAGAGCAGAGTAGAAAGAAGAAATGAAGAATAGAAGTTCGGGAGTGCAGAATTCTTGTTCATTTCATAGGCAGGACAAACCACGTGGATTCAGGTCCTCACTCTGTTGAATTTGTGTCCTCACTCCTTGCTGCTCTTCTTTGACAGTAAGCATCCCTGGGAGCCTAGTTTTGTGTAGAATTTCGATCAGACAGGACAAATAGAAAAGTCACACAAAAAACACACTGGCTAGTTGACACAAAATGGCATTTAGGTTGCACTCAAACCCGCAACCCTAGTCATCGACTTCAAAGGCCACGTCGGCTTCTGAGTCGAGTCAATCTCTGTCATGGCTAACGGCGTTGGTTGTGCTTGAGCCCAAAACTCTGGTATTCGGCTGCGAAGGGCACATCGGCACTAGTCACAACGAGACGAGGCAGCATTTGGTGGCAAAACATTATGGTGATTGATACCAAGCAAGGCATCACGAGGCAAAACATTATGCTGACCTATACCAAGCAAGGCATCACCAGGTACCGACGCCTGCTCATCTATCTGTTGCATGCTTGGGCCTGAAAGAGCACAAGTGGATGGAATCTCACACCTTCAGGCTTCAGCCATAAGACCGGCTGAGCTGTAGCTTAAGAAGATAAAAATCAGGGAACTCGCCCTGAGAGCACAAGTGGATGTCCTTTCAAACCAGGCCTCCCCTGTACATGAGACGGCTTTTCTGGTGCCTGTTAGCGTCTTCTGAGGCGCCTTTGAGCGGCTTTACAGTGACTCTTGAGGCGCAAGGCGCTTGAAAGTCTCCTTGGGAGTGCATCCGCCAACTATGACCTCATACTTACACCATGCTTACATCATGCTTACATCATGCTTACACCATGCTTACATCATGCTTCCACCATGCTTACATCATGCTTACACCATGCTTACACCATGCTTACATCATGCTTACATCATGCTTACACCATGCTTATATCATGCTTACACCATCCTCCTTACACCATGCTTACATCATGCATACACCATGTCATCCTTACACCATGCTTATCCCCGTGCTCACACCATGATTTCACCATTCTTACATCATTGTTAGGGATGAGATGTTGGCGAGAAAGCCAGGGAATGAGCTGGAGAGCTGGTTGTCGGACAACAGACTGAAAGGAGCAGGATGGAAAAAAACACATAAAGAAACAAGAAACATATATATAGAAAGAAAACATGCATGGAAAACATTTTGTTGCAAAATGATTGAGCAAGTAGAAGGATGTTAAAAGGGACTTGCTGCAGGTCATACAAGAGTTCCTTGCAGCGATTGTTATACTAAAGCATGTGTTGCACTGCCTTACTGCAGCATGCATCGTATTACTACAAGATACACTTTGTTTTCACCACCTTTACAGCTTATCACAGATTACAAGCATCGTTCACGCGCTATTCTATTCAAAATCAAACTAGCTACACCACTTTCTCAAGCCACACCCATCCAATTTTATATGTCCCCGCTCCACAATAGTTACACAGCCTTACATGTATTCAAGCGCCTTGAGCTTAGAAAGGGAGGTAGGCAGAGAGCCATTGAGGCGTGCGGACCTGACATCTCTGCAGTAGGGAGGGCATGAAGGGGGGGGGGGGGGGATGTGTGATGTGGTTGCGTACACTTGGAGTTAGTAGGGTAACTAAAAACATTTTTTCTGTTACCCCCAAACCCCTTCACCACCGTTGTTCGAGGACCAATCTGGTTGTATATCACAACCATTATTGGTTCCTCCAATAATCTCCCAACCCAACTTATTGGTTCAACACAACTTATTGGTTCAACACAACTTATTGGTTCAACACAACTTATTGGTTCAACACAACTTATTGGTTCAACACAACTTATTGGTTCAACACAACTTATTGGTTCAACACAACTTATTGGTTCAACACAACTTATTGGTTCAACACAACTTATTGGTTCAACACAACTTATTGGTTCAATTGCTGATACAACACTCTCTTTGCCCCTTTCGCCTTCCCTATGTAAGCCCGTTCCTAACCGAATTCAACTCAACGCTTGAGTTTCTCAAAGTTGTGAGCTTCTTACATCATGTGATTGATGTTGGGAAGCTTTGTCAGCTAGTTCTCTGATATTTCTTGTAGTGTGTTTCTACACCAACCATACATCGTGGCATGCTTACAAAAATGTGCCATGATCACGCCATAGTGACAGGCTTACAACATCGTGACATGATCACAACATGCAGTTACATGCTCACAACATGTGGTTACATGCTCACAGCACGTGGTTACATGCTCACAACACGAGGTCACTTGCTCACACCATACTGATAACATGCTCACACCATGCTGATAACATGCTCACAGCATACTGATAACATGCTCACACAATGCTGATAATAACATGCTCACAGCATACTGATAACATGCTCACAGGATACTAATAACATGCTCACAGCATACTAATAACATGCTCACAGCATACTAATAACAAGCTCTCAGCATACCATACTAATAGCATGCTCACAGCATTATAAGAGATTTCAAGGACCCCAATGTTGATGGCAGGCTGCCTGATATGGCGTTGTACGAGAGATCCCTGCTTGGTGCAAGGTGGTAATCGTGAGGGGTTGGGAGGGGTGAGAGACTTTGGCGGAAGCAGGCGAGAGGAACCTCAATTGCCATCTCTAGGAGGCCTCTGCTGGAGGCAGACTGCCTGCCCCGGGTGGAGTTGACTGTGAGAGCTCCCTGTATGGTGCACGGAAGGACAGTGCTTGCTTGGTTGCTGCTAGGGTGAGACGAATATTGACAGCATAAGGTGGGAAATGTAATGGTGCCTATAATATCTTATCGAGTGCATGGACAAAACACGAGAGTACAAGCTTATGAAAGGGAGGGGTTTGGCACACTAGACAGTGCATGAGTGAGTTGTAACACATATGAGTATAATACACACGTCATTAACTTCCTACAGTTGATTGCTGTCGACATGCACTGCTTACAACAATACCACATCAAGCCTAGGTGGGCAAATTCGTTGGGGTCCCCCAGCGTTTTGCGTAAATTCGCAAGCGTAAATTCACAAATGCGAAGTTACCTGAAATTCGCGAAACGCTGGGGGAAAACTTTTGGGGCAGCCCGGACAAGACAAAAAAAACGCGAATTTTCCCACTCGATTCGCGGCGACTTGGCTAAGTCATCCTTGGCCTCGCCGATTCGCGTTTCTAACTTTTGAACCTCCAAACATGCTTCCAACCCCTCCCACGCTCCCAACCGCATCAAACCCCACCGCATCTAGATAACCCAACCCATCCACAACTTCCGCAACTATATCACGCATCTCACACACTACTCTACTAGACGTAGAGTGGATGTAGCTAATCACTCCACGTCCAAGCTAGTAGATCTAGTCTAAGCATAGACATTAGCTTACCTCATGAGTATGGTTCATCATGTTGCTGTAGGTTGCTGCAGGGCTGTTGTTGCGAAGGATACTCCCCAAACTCTAGAACATGCTTTGTGCAAAAACTTTCTTGCCATAAATTTTGAGAAGCAGTAATTATTTTGTGCAAAAACTTTCTTGCTTAAAAAGAGTTGCCCTGAAACCCCCCACGCCCCCCCTACCTTTTGGGCCTGCCCGGGCATTTTTTTCCTGCCCGGGCGGAACGAATTTCCCAACGAATTCAAAACAGGGCCTTGGCGTCAGGGCGAATTTACGCCAGCATAAATTCGTCAGCGAATTTACGCGAAACGCGAATTTTCCCACTTAGCATTATGCTACCAATCTTCAATAACAACATATATGGTATTCGACGAAGCATGTACTTCAGATAGCGGATCACTCAACAATATGCAATTTCAGGAGACAGTGGGGCAAGTTATAAAGCATACAAGGATTTGAGATTCCTCAAGGAGCCGATGCCACGGGGAATAGAGCCGGAGATGTTGTTGGCCCTTAGTGTCCTGTACCATCACCACATACATACCATGCCATGCCCATGTCATGCCATGTCAAGCCATGTCATTGCATGTCAATCCATGTCAAGCCATGTCATTGCATGTCAATCCATGTCATGCCATGTCAAGCCATGTCATTGCATGTCAATCCATGTCATGCCATGTCACGCCCATGCCATGCCAAGCAATGCCATCCATCAACACAGACAAGACGCAGAGAGCTGAGAAGGCAATAACAGTCAGTCCTTTAGAATTAGCAAGAGACAGCATGCCTAAACGAAGTAGGAACAACAAGGCAGAGCATTCGGGTTTGCAAAGCAACGATAACACCGGCACAACGCTTACAAAGATACCATGCTGCAGAGCTTATTTTGAGGCGTCTATAAAGTTGCACCAACAACACCGGCGCTTACAAATAAATGAGGTTGCCGAGCTTTGAGATGGAAGAAGGCAAAGAGCCGCTGATTGCGTTGCCCTGAAGGAACCTGGATGCATTGGTAGAGGTGGGCGAGATGTGAAGGACTTTTGAGGCGCCTCACAAGAGAGCCGTGAGATAAAGGCCTGCAAAGAGTCGCTGATTGCGACAGCCCCTGAAGGAACCTGAACACATGGATAGAAATGTGGGTGAGATAGGAAGGATTTGTTTATCGCCACAAAGATGGACTTTTGGAGTATCTGGGTATCCTTGCCACACAAAAGAAGAGAGAAAAAAAACACTGAGAGCAAACAGACTCTTACGCACAAGAAGGATCTGCAAAGAGAAAAAGATCCCACAACCTGTATGAGCCCAAAGATATCAAGGAATAAAAGTTGATCAATCACGAACGAATGATGCTTCACAGTCCATCGCGATGACATTTGAGTCGACTAAAAAATGATGCCTCACAGTATAGTCCATCGCGTCGCCGCCCATAGGCTGCACAAACGAGTCTCATGGGCCAGCCGCAACCTACAGTTGAGACAGCCGTTTCAGATTGCCAAGAGATGCCGGAAGGCTGGAGTTGAGTGAGTTGAAAGCGACATTGCTGCTCCAAGGGAGGGGAGGGGAGGGGAAGGGGGGTTGAAATTTTGGCTCTTCAGAAATCTAAGATTGCTTGCTGCTCTGTGGGAAAGTTTAGAAGTGGAGGGGAGGGGATGTGGGGGTCGTTAATAACCGTTGTATCAACTTAGAGGCATCAAAGTCGGGTTGTTAATCTCTTAAGCTGACAGGAAAAGAGACGCACAAGAGAGCCTCGGACAAGTGTGCCTTCGAGTCTCCTTTACAGCAGACGCAAAACGAGCGCAAATCATCTCTAGTCTTGGTACAAGTGTGCCATTGAGTCGGATATAAAGCAGGCAGCAAAGTGACGCACATCCTATCCAGCCTTGGAAGCAGAGTGAGGGGCCCTATGGACCCAGAGAGCTGGTTGCCGGTTAGCTCACTGTGGGCGTGGGATGGGGCGGGAAAGAGGTGGGAAAGGGAAGGGACAAGGGGCAAGAGGAGAGGTAATGGAAAGGAGGGAGGGAGAGCGGTTTTTAGGAGGGGGGATAGCCAGGAAAGTGAGGGGAGCAATGGAGCCAGAAAGTTTGCGTCTGGTTGGATCACTGTAGGTGCGGGATGGGAAATGCGGGAATGGAAGGGAAATGAAAGGGAAGGTTGGAAATGGGGAGGAGGTAGGGATAAGTGAGGAGGGGGAAGAAGGATTGGGATGGGGGGAGAGGAACTAAAGGAGACAGAAGAAAGAAGAGGGCGAAAGAGAAAAGAGGATGGAAGAGAGAACGAAGACGGGATATGAAAAAAGGAAGAACGGACGGAGGAGAAGCGAGAAGGAAGGCAGGAAGGGGGATGCGGTAAGAGTGGCCATGCACCCACGCACGTGCGTGCACACACACACAGACACACACAAACACACACACACACACACACACACACACAGACGCACACGCAGACACACACACACACGCACACACATGCACACACAAACACACACACACACACACACACACACACACACACACACACACACACACACACACACACACGCACGCACTGATGTGGATCTGGATCCCACGAGGCCTACCCCCTACGAATATCGCTCCACCTCAACTCACTCCTCTGTATAATCTTTGCTGGGTGATAACTCCATGGCAATTCAGATTTGAGGCTCATATTTAAGTCATGGGATAAACTTACATCTTTGCTAGCTTCTGGAGTGTCTTAAGCTTCGTGGGAATAGAGGAGTCTAGCTTGTTGCCAGATAGCGACCTGAGATGGAAGAGCACCACGGGTGAGTGAGTGAGTGGGTGAGGGTGGGAGAGGGAGAGGGGGGAGGGAAAGCGCGGTGGGGAAGAGAGAGGCTTAGGTGCAAAGAGAAAAAGACAGCTTAGTATTGTGAGAGCGTATAGGCGTATGAGGGCATACAGGCGTGTGAGGGCATATAGGTGTGTGAGGGCATGCAGGCGTGTGAGGGCATATAGGAGTGTGAGGGCATAAAGGCGTGTGAGGGCATATAGGTGTGTGAGGGCATAAAGGCGTGTGAGGGCATATAGGTGTGTGAGGGCATGCAGGCGTGTGAGGGCATATAGGTGTGTGAGGGCATAGAGGTGTGTGAGGGCATAGAGGTGTGTGAGGGCATAAAGGCGTGTGAGGGCATAGAGGTGTGTGAGGGCATAGAGATATGTGGGGTAGGCTTGAGCAACGGGTCGGGTTGGGTCGGGTAGCCCGACCCGAACCCGACTTTTTGACGGGTCGGGTCAACATTTGCGGAGGGTCGACCCGAACCTCGGGTACCCGACCCGACCTGACCCGACCTGACCCGACCGACAAAACCCGACCCGTCGGGTCGGCTTATTACCCGTCCCTGCCCCTATGCCAACCCGACCCGACCTGACCCGAAATCGGGTCAGGTAGTGCCCGACCTATTTAACCCGGGTCGGGTTGACATTTCCTGAACTCCGACCCGACTTGACCCGACCCGACCCGACCCGACCCCGACATCGGGTAGGGCACAGTCGGGTCGGGTCGGGTCGGGTCGGGTTCATGCTCAAGCCCATTGTGGGGTGTGTGTGTGAGGTCGTGCAGGCACGCAGGTGTGTGAGGGCATACAGGTGTGTGAGGGCAGTGAGCGAGGAGAGAAAGGGAGGAACTGCGCCTTCCAGGTTGTTGGAATCCAGATTTCTGGCGGGAATAAAGAGAGCAGGGCGTGAAGGGAGGGAGGTGAGTGGGGTGAGAGAGGATGGGGCACACAGGTGAGAGGGAATGAAGTGGAGAGAACCTGTCGAGTCACACCTTCCTTCCAGGTTGTTGGCATTTTGCTTTCTGGAGGGCAGAGAGAGAGAGAGCAGGGCGAGAAGTGTGATTTTAGCAGAATATGAGGGTTCAAAGGTCGTTTTGGGCCGATTTAGTGAATTGGAGCTTTTCTTTAAATGACTCAAATGTGGGAAGGTGGCACGGAACGTTCAAGTGGCGCTTAATGTGTTTCCTTGATGAAAAAGACCTCGCCGCAGATAAGTTACCAACAAGAACTGGCACTGAACGTCTCTCCTTCAAGCAAAAAAAGGTTGGATCTTGGAAGGAGCTAAGTCGCGTACAAGTGTCGCAGTTTCTTGAGGCGGCCGAAGGAGGAAGGGATGGTGCCGCCACTGACTGCTGAGGCGATGCTACTGCAATAATGAGAGGAGGGAGGGCAGGTGGGGGACTGAATTGCTGATACTGATTGGTGAGTCGATGTCAGTGTGACCAAGAGGGCAGGTGGGAAAAAGATGTGTATGCTTCAATGCGTGTTACACTATGAGTGGTGCTGAGTCCATGTGACTCTGTTGAAGGGAGGGAACGCAGGGGACAGAGCTGTGAGTTTTGGCACGCCTTGAACGATGGCTGCTGAGGGAGGGAAGAAAAGGATATGGGAGGGAGGAATGGGTTCGTGTAGGGAAGGCTAGTACAGAGGGAGAGAGCAAGTAGGGATTGCTAGGAGGGAAACAAGAGCAGGAAGGAATTGTAGATCAACGAGAGTAGGTAGAGTGGAGAGGAGGATAGATAGAGCAGGTAAGCGACAAAGCGAGAGATGAGCGAGAAGGGAGTGAGAGATAGGGATGGTGGCTGGCAGGCAGGTAAGCGAGGGAAGCGAGGAAAATGGGGAGGGTGACTGACTGACAAGTAAGTGACAACAAGCGAGGGATGATTGAGAGGGGGGTGGGGAGATAGGGAGGGTGGCTGGCAGATGTGTGAGGGAAGCAAGCAAGGAAGGGAGGAAGCGAGGGAGGGAGGAAGCGAAGGAGGGAGGAAACGAAGGAGGGAGGAAGCGAAGGAGGGAGGAAGCGAAGGAGGGAGGAAGCGAAGGAGGGAGGAAGCGAAGGAGGAAGCAAGCAAGGAAGGGAGGAAGCAAGCAAGGAAGGGAGGAAGCGAAGGAGGGAGGAAGCAAGGGAGGGAGGAAGCGAAGGAGGGAGGAAGCGAAGGAGGGAGGAAGCGAGGGAGGGAGGAAGCGAGGGAGGGAGGAAGCGAGGGAGGGTAACTGACAGGTATGTGAGGGAAGCAAGGGAGCCGATGACAGATGGCAGGCTGGACAGGAAGCCACCGTTCTCCATGCTCCTGTTAGAATGGCCGGAGGAGGATGGCATGGCAGGTGTCTTATAGTTAGAATCCTAGGAAACGTCTCCACAGACGCCCAGGACGGATGGCAGGCTAGACAGACAGGCCGCCATTGTTCTCGATGCTGCTCATGGAGTGACGGCAAGGAGCCGTCAGAGGGAGCACTATTTAGCAGCTTTCGCCATTCATGGCGGAGGAGAGTTCTCACCTTCGGTGACAGCTCCTCCTGCAAGGCGAATCCTCGTCCTTTACTCCAACATACATACCCTCGATCCTTGACTCTCGCCCTCCGCCCCTTGCCTTCACCCAATGAAGTAATAATCGGGTGATTATCAAGGTTTGAGCCCTCACGCTTGACCCTCGCCCCTCGTTTATGTATGCTTCGCAAACGCATATTGAGTGGAAAAATCCTCGCATGGATTGCGTATGATGAACCATGCATGGTGGACTATGCATCATGGACTGTGTATGATGGAGAATGCATGGTGGAGCATGATGGACTATTCATTAGGCCATGAGCACAAGCCAAGCCGAGCCTTGCTCGCCTTGAGCCGGATCCAGCTCCGCTGTCCATTGGGCCAGATGTGAGGGATAAATATGCGCAAACTATGCGAGTAGAAACAAGTCTAAGTTCCGCGCATAGCTGGCAATGTGACCGCCTAAATGCGTGGATCTATCATTTTTCCCGGAGATCCACGCGGATCGGCCGGAGGGCATTTCTCTCGTCGACATGCGCGGATCTGACATTTCGTCCACCGGGGCTAAGCTCCGCTGCTGATTTTGGGTCTTCTGACTGACAAGCCGAGCCAAACAGATTCTGTATGCCGGATTGATATGGCTCGGCTCGTTAAGGCCCCAGCTCGACCCTGGCTCGTCATGAGGCGGCTCGGCTTGGCGCATGTCCTGTCTCTACCATGCATGATAGATGGAGAATAGACATGAGCAAGGAACAGGCTCGGACTGGCTGGGCCGGCCCGAGGGTGGCCCGTCCAGGAAATGGGACGTGCTTGGGCTGGCCCGAGTCGGGCCGGGCTAGGCCCATTGCCGGCCCGTGGCCCATACTATATGGACGGGCAGGGGTCGGCCCGTCTCGGACCAGGCTGGCACGTGACAGGCCGGGCGGCCCTCGGTCCTACGGGTGTGTGAGGGCGGATCAGCAACCTCGATGTCAAAAATCCCACCCGCGCGGCTCGGGTCGCAAAGGCCATCATTAGAAGGCGGCCACGCGGCGGCCCGTCGACGCCCCCCTCGGCCTGCGGGCCCGGGTTGGCTCGTTGCCGACAGATTGCACGGGCAGCGGGTCAGGCCTCCGCCACGGGAGGACCGATCCCCCTTTGTAACGGGACGGGTCGGGTCGGCCCGCTGGCAGCCCGTCCCTCTGCTCATGGTGTCTAGGAGAATGCAGGATGGACCATGCGGCATGCACATGGGTGGCTGGATGGAGCCTGCATTTAGCAGACATGCTTCTCTTGCTTCTCATGCTTCTCATGCTTCTCACGCTTCTCACACTTCTCACGCTTCTCCCGCTTCTCCCGCTTCTCACACCTCTGCGATGGATGTTGACACAGTGTTCGCAAGATACACAGGAGAGGCCTCGTATAGGTCCTCACGGCGATAGACCTCACACTGATGGGGCCATTTCTTAGAATTCTCAGAAATGACTTCACAACAGGCATCACAAAGGTACTCGCGATAGGCCGCACAAAGTTACCCACAGTGACTCAAGGCGGGTGAGCTGGAGAATCTCGGACGGTAGGTCGGACATGGAGTAGAGGAAGCTGGAGGGGGGAGAGAGTACGGGGGAGGTGGAAAGTTGTTTTTCGGAGGGAGAGGGCGGCAGTGGCTCCAGCCTTGAAACGTAATATCATGAACAAGGCTGAGAGACATGGTTCGGGAGAGAGGTATGGAATGAGAGGGACTATGGAAAGGGAGGAATGGAACGAGAGGTATGGAAAGAGAGGTATGGAAAGAGAGGTTTGGAAAGGGAGGTATGGATAGAGAGGTATGGAAAGAGAGGTATGGAAAGAGAGGTATGGAAAGGGAGGTATGGAAAGAGAGGTATGGAAAAGGAGGTATGGAAAGAGAGGTATCCAAAGACTGGAATGTGAGCTCATTGTAGGGATCTAAGAGGAGCTCCGGTTGCAGGGTAGCGGGGGAGAGAGACCACCAATCAGCACACACAGTCACATTCCTACAGCCCTACAGTCACACTCATAGTCCTCCCACTCCAATACACTCACAGCTTGCTCACTGCGCCCCTTGCGCGTAGAGACCCCCGGTGGTGGATGAGGACTATAGCAAAGGGAGCACAGTCATAGTCCTCCCACCCCATTTCTGGTGGTGGCTGGAGCTATAGTCCTCATCCACCACCAGAAATGCTTTGGAGGCGCTTCAAGCACACCCTCTCTCACAGATTGCGAAGTGCTCCCTTTGCGATTTCGAGTAGAGACCCCGGGCTGAAGCTGTAGCACATCTACCCGACCATCACCAGTATGCTTTGGAGGCGCTTCAAACACTCAAACTCACTCACAGCTTGCTCACTGCGCCCTTTGCGTCGCACGCGATTAGCGTAGAGACCCCCGGGTTGCAGCTAAAGTCCTCATCCACCACCATCACCGGTGAGGCGCTGAAAATCGTCTCCAGGGCGGATCCTGACGGGAGAGTTGGCAGGGAATGGGGGACGGACCGGACGGTAGTAGGGGTGAGGGACAGGCCTCACTGAGTTATCTCAAAGCTTTAGTCCTCATCAACCACCAGCAGAGGCGCTGAAAATCGTCTCCACAGCGGATCCTGACAGACGGTTGGGATGGAGGCAAGGAATTGGGGGAAACCATTAGCAGAATATTGGCAGGGATTGAGGGAAAGGGAGGGGGGGGGAGAGATATTGGCGGCGTTGGCAAAAGGGAGGAAGGGACGGTACAGGGCGGATCTTGGCAGAAAGTTGGCAGAGGGAACGGAGAGCGCAGGTCTTGGTACTGTCGGTAGGGAATAAGGCGAGGGGAAAAAGCGAGTCTGGGCAGAGAGCCAGTAGGGAATAAGGCAAGGGAGCGCCCTGGCGGTGCTGGGAAGGGACTGATATAAGCTTCTGCATCATTCCAAGCAACCGCTGAAAACCCTATCCATGGAGAATCCTGGCAGCATCATTAGATGGGGGGGGGGGGAAGAGTGTGAAGGAACAGTTTGCCTCATGCCTCACTCCAAAGCGACCGCTGAAAAACCATCTCACAGCGGATCTTGGCATCCCATTGGAAGAGGATGAGAGGATAGAAGAACGAAACAACACACTTCCTCAAAAGGCGGAGCTAGCTTTAGAGGTCTTTGCCTTGGAGGGTCAAGTTGCCTTACTTGCCTTACGGTCGAGCCTCGCATCACGGAGATGCCGCCCTTTTAGGGCCTTCCTCTACAAGCGCTACATGGGCTTTGCCTATGCCTCCCATTTCCTTACTATAGCGCCTTGCAATATAGACTCTGCCGCAAAGGGCCTTTTGTCTTACTAGGGCTTGCCGCTAGGCCCTTGCCTTAAGGGCAGAGTCTCGAGCAGGGTCATTTCCTAGGGACTCGCATTATAGGGCCTTCTCTTATAGAGAGGCTTGCCTTGTAGGGCCTTATAGGGCCTTGCCATGTGGGGCCCTGCCAGGGCCTTGGGGCTTGCCTAGGGCTTCCTTAGGGGCTTGCCTTAGGGCTTTGCCTTGTTGGGCCTATAGGGCCTTGCCTTGTTAGCCTTGCCTTATAGTAGGGACGTTGGTGACTTTGCAAGGCCATTAGCACGCACTCTGGACGGCGTTCAGAGGCAAATTCGCCGCTGCCGCTCCTTTAACCGCACAGAATAACGCAGATATCAGGAGACAACTCAGCAGCGCAAAGGGTGGCGTAAAATACGGCGTCATCAGATAGAGTCTATTAGAAACAGAAGGCCCCTGCCCGAGGCTATGAGTAAGTGGTGAAAGAGAGAAAAATCATGGGACTGCCACTGTCAGCAGTTGGTAGCTCGCACAGTGTTAGGAAGATCTACTGCTAAACCCGCAGGCGATTGGAACTTTTTTCACGGTGAGGAATACTGCTAGCCAAGTGGTGAAAGAGGGGGAAATCATGGGGAGCTTTGAGTCCGTCTTGAATCAAAGCTTTGAATTCGAGGATTCTTACTTCATTGCACTATGAGCATCTGTTCCGTGGAGCTCAGCGAGATTCTCTGCGTTCCATAGTCTTACATTGGATATCTAGAACGGTTAGGTGGGGTTCTGAGGAAACTACGAAGCATATGACACATCCACTGCGGGATCAGTGGGGTGTGGTTTGTGTACGGGGCGGTAATGGATTCCTTCAAAGAGCCTACTTTAGCCGTATAATCCTTGACTTCCGACATTTCCAGTCGAAGCACACTGGTAATCTCAGAAACTCGGCGAATATGCCACTCGCTGCATCAGCATTTAGAACATAATCCAAGCGTATTTCCATGCCACTTTAGCATACCACACATTCATTAAACAGCCAGCTATGTCCTGTACCAGTAGGACCGCTGGACGGGTTCAATCGTAAGAAAAGGGTTTGGTCGGGTGGGCGGGTCACTGCAATCGAGAAGGGGGAGAACTAGAACCGCCTAGGTATGCACCAAAGACTACTTTATTTTAGTTTGTGAATCGAACTGCACTCTGACAATTCTGGGTTTGTTGAAATGTCTCATTCTGGGCTGGTGCTCCTGAGCACGTGGGCCATTTCGTCCTTTCCTTCGTACAGAGCAACCACTGAAAACACACCGCCGACCTTCGTGGGGAGCTGTTCAGCGTTGACATTTTTTGTTGTTGCTCGTGTTGTTTGCCCTGGCTGACCCCCCTGCCTACTTGCACGAGGACTTCGGTTCAGAGAGAACAAATGTGAACACCAACGGGACTTCTCATTGGCCAACATCTTTCACCAATTGACAGGCTTCCAACGCCTTCTGGCAGAAATCCCAAGTACATCAAGTTTTCGTTCAAGTTGGTGGTTTCGTTTCAGGCGGCAAGGGTCGTTATATCTGCCAGGTGACTGTCACGCTGTACAGTTGCTTGCCTGAGAAACCCACATTCGACAAAAATCCTCTGTCCGACATAAAACACCAGAACCAAACTTGGGGTGATTGTAATAAAAAAATTCGCAAACAACGACTGGGGGAAAGTGAGGGCGGAGAAAGGGAAAGCGGGGGCGTGCGGAAGGCGCAGGGAGGAGTTGGGGAAGAATACCTGGCCAGAGCGGCGCACGGCATGGAATATATGTGGTGCGTGTGAAGAGATTTCTTTGTCAGGGGCGTGATTTATTGCTCTGTTCCAATCCTTGCTTCCTGGTTTTGTCAGTTTTATTATTTGCCACGAAATTGTCGGTGTCATTTTTACGTAGTAGGTCACTACTGCAACGCAACATAATTGTATTGAACACGGCACGCAGTGCACGGCTGTGGGCTCGGTTTTTGCTCACCGCGCCCCACCGCTCTGCACTGCACGGCGCTGCGCTGCACCGCATTCCACCGCACTGCACCATACACCACTGCTCTCCACTGCTCCACGTCGCTCCGTCCCGCCCTTCACCGCCTATAGGCGGCTGCTGCGGTCATAATGACGGACTCGTTGCTGCGCTTTGATGCAGAGGGTCAGCCGGTTGAGTTCGACGCGTGGCTCATCGACCTCCGCCGTCACCTCACTGGTCAGCGGCAGGACAACCACTCTTTGGCCGTCCACATTGACAGTATGCTCCCATGCCCTAACCCCTCTGCTGCTCTCCCCGCTGACCCCACGCCGCTTCTGCCCTTGCCCGTGCTGTCTGGCTGTCACGTGACGTTGTCGCTCAGCTCGTGATTAACCATGCCCTCCCCCTATCTGAGCGCCCCCACTTTAATTCGGTCAAGTTTGCGTAGGAGTTTCTGGAGCCTATTGTCGTGCGTTATTCCACCCCGTCCTCTGCCTCTGCCGGCCAACTGATCCTTCCCATGCTCTTCCCTGATCTCGTGTCTTTCTCCACTGTCGCTGACCTGGTCACGCACTTGCGCACGCTCGACGCGAGCTGGCGCGTTGCCTGCACTGAGGCCTAGCTTCGTGTGTTCCAGCCCCCTCTCTGCTCTACCCTTTACATGCTTGCCACCCGCCTCCTTGACCGCCTTGCTACTGCCCGCAACCACTTTCTGAGTCTGCACCCCGCTGACCTCACCCTCACCGACTGAGTCGAGACCCTGTCTGCCATAGAGACCCGTCTGTGCTCTATCACCCAGTCTAGCGGTACTCTGTCGGTCCCTATCTTTCAGGGTTGTGCTCTCGCTCAGTGCAGTTACTCTGACAGTTCTGCGGCTATCGCTAAGACAGCCCCTGCTGCTGAGACCGCTACCACGATGGCCTCAGCGCAGTCTCGTTATGGTAAGGCTCGCCGCCCCAAAGCTGGGCGCAACGGTGGTAGTAGAGGAGGGGGTGGAGGTGGTGATGGAGGTGGTTCATCCGCTGGTGGTAGTATCGACGAAGGGGCTGGGGCTGGTGCCTCGGAGCAGCAGCCCCAGCGGGAGCAGCAGCAAGTGCTACAGCTTGACCAGCAGCAGCAGCAACAGCAGCCGCAGCAGCAGCAGCAATAGCAGTCGCAGCGGAGGGTCGGCCGCCTCCTGCCTGGGTGGCCTGGCGCCGGTGGTGGTGGTCGTCGTAGTGGTCGTGCGCGCAGCTTGTCGTCGGGTGGTGGTGCGAGTGACAGGCGCTGCCAGTACCAGCTCTAGACTAGTCCTGGCCGCAACCTCGTGTGCGGTAAGATCGGTCATACCCCCACTCGCTGTTTCAATCGCCTGGACGACCTGTTTCGTCTCCGCTTCGGCCCCGCACCGGACCTCCCCGAATGGCACAGTCTGCTCCGCCGTGGTGTTAGGATCTTTGATATGGACATGGATGAGATTAGCTCTCCATTATATGTGATGTATGTCGATGACTCTAGTGTGACTGGTTCCTATTACCCCGTGTTGCCTAGTGTTGGTGTGCACAGTGCGCCTAGTTTAGGCTCCCCTACTGCGTTAGGCGTAGGACCCTCTGCTTTGTTTAGCCTTGGCTTCACCCTAGCTCCTCCGCCCCCAGCCGCCACTGCCGCGCTCTCCTTCACTCTTGACTCTAGCACGTTTCGGTGTTTCTTTTGGGACCACACTACGCTTACGCCGCTTGCCGTCCCTGCCGACGCTGCCCTTGCCGTCCCTTCCTCAGGTCCGGTAGTCGCCCGTAGCTCCACAACCCTCCTCTGTCCGGCGGTTCCTTCGGGCTCTCTTACAGGCCTGCACATCCCCTCGTTCTCCTGGAACCTAGTTGGTGTCGGCTGCCTTTAGGACCTCAACGTTACCACTACGTTCCCTGGTCATGAGAGGTACGCTGTCTGTACCGAGGCCGCCACTGGTGCTCCCCTCACCACGTTCCCCCGGGACCCGGTGTCTGGCCTGTTCATGCTCGACACCACGTCCCCCCCAGTTGGGACGCCCCCCCAGATGGCAGCGTCTACCCAGGTTGCTGCGGCTTGCTCGTGTCGGTCGCTTACTCACCCGTCCCTTCTGTGGCACCACCGCCTAGGTCACCCCGCCTTCACACGTCTCCGTCACATGTCTCAGCAAGGTCTTGTCTTAGGTCTCCCTGTGTCGTTCCCTGCGCTCCTTTCCTCGGCAGTGCCACCGTGCACCCCCTGCGTGAAGGGCCGGCTCCGCCGTGCCCCTCACTCCTCCTCATTCCCCCCCACCACCGCACCACTGCAGACCCTGCACATGGACGTCTGGGGCCCCGCCCCCGTCCATGGGCCGTGTTGTGAGCGCTACTTCCTAGTGCTTGTCGGCGACTTCACTCGCTACACCACGGTGTTTCCCCTGGAGCGGAAGGCCAACGTGCCTAACGTTCTTATCCCGTGGCTTGTCTCTGTGCGTGTTCACCAAGGTCTCCCTGTGTTGCGTCTTCACTCCAACCGTGGTGGCGAGTTCGCCTCTGGCTGCCTTGGTCGCTTTTGTCGTGAAAAGGGCATCACCCAGACATACACCCTACCGGACTCCCCGCAGCAGAATGGGGACACAGAGCGACACATTGGTTTGGTCATGGAGGGCTCGTACCTCCATGATCCAAGCCAGTGCACCCCATTTTTTGTGGCCGTTCACCATTCGCTATGCCGCCCACCAGCTTAACCTGTGGCCGCACCCTCAGCGGCCGCAGGTTTCGCCGACCCTCCTCTGGACTGGGTCTCCTGGTGAGGCATCTGCGTTCCACGTCTGGGGCTGCCTTGCTCACGTTTGTGCCTCTGGCATGGACAAGCTCGTTGCCCGCACTGTCCCCTGTATCTTCCTAGGTTTCCCCCTCGACTCATCTGACTGGCACTTCTACCACCCGCCGTCTCAACGTTTCCTTCACTCTCGCGACGTCACCTTTGACGAGTCCGTCTCCTTCTACCACCGCTTTCCCCACAGTGGTCCCCCCGTTACTCCCCCCCATATTCCTGGTTCCCCCACCCCCGGTCGCACTTGCTCCCCCCCCTCCCCGCCCTGCCCCGTCTGCTGTGTCTCACCTCACCCCCCTCGTGCCGGTTGTTCCTGCCGAGGGGACTGCCGACTCTCGCGATATGCATAGTCCCTTCAACCGCCTATCCCCACCCCGGTCTCTCCTCCCCTCTCGCCACCATTGCTGTCGCAGCCGCCGCCGCCGCCTCCACAGCTGCCGCCGCCACCGCAGCCGCAACCATCGTCGTCACCGCCGCTGGGGTTTGTACGTTCTGGGGGTGCTGGGGAGCGTGTCGGCGTGGGTACTAGAGCGAGTTCCCGCCGCTGGAGGTTCTGGTGTTGGCGTCAGGCAGCAGCCGCCGCAGTCATCGCTGGTGCCCGCTCTTCGTCTCCTCGGTCTTCCTTCCCCTGACCGCCCGCCGATGCCTCCTCCGTCGCCGCCGCCTCCTCCTCTGCCGAACTACGGCCTTGTGTTTCCTCCACTCGACTCTTCTCCGGCTCGTTTCCTTCCTCGTTCTCCTCCTGTGTCTCCTCCGCTCCTTCCGTCTCCTCATTCGCCGTCGCTTGCCGTGGCCCCGCCTCCGTTCTCAGACTTCCTCCGTGCCGCAAGTCCCCTTGTTCTTCGTGTCCTTGCCTCTCTGGTTACCAACCCATCCGTTCCTGTTTCGAGTCTGTCGGCTCTTGTCGCTGCTGTCACTGACTTCGCTGCCACCCGCCGCCTTGACTACGCCACTGCTCTGGTCTCTGACCCTGCCTACCCTCCGTCCGTCAGGGGTGCTCCTGCCCTTGGCAGTGCTGTTCTAGAGGACAGGCAGTACGAGCTTGCTTTCATGTCCGAAGCCGCTCCCCATCACTGTTCCATACTGCTTGTCGCTGAGGGTGACCCGGACGCCCTTGACATTCCAACCCCTCACACCTACGCCGAGGCGAC